ATATATATATATACTAGTAGTAGTATAACCCTTCTTTGACCGGATCATTCATTACTGGGAATTTTTGCCGTTCAATTGGATCAGTTTAAGTTTAAAGTCATCCTACTCGAAAATCAATATTAGTAACAATATTTGGGTGCAACTGAGGCACACCCCCAAAAGGGGGAGTAACAATTAGAATGGGAGGTGGCACTGAAAATATTATTGTAATAATTTAAACTATTTATCTTTATTAAAGTTTTTAAGAAAGATAGACAGTGCTGTTCCATAAAAGTGACTCACCTGATTTTTTTTCCTAAATGTTCTCTTCTCCGATGAAACGAAAGTTGAGCTAAATTCAAAGGATAAGCGATCTAAAATCCGAAGAAGAAGCTTTGAAAGCTCTTTGAATTTAGCAGTAAGTACTGTCAAGCATCCGTTCAGTTTAATGTTCTGGGGATGCTTTTCTTTTCATGGGACTGGTTTCTTAAAACCTATTGAAAAGACCCTCAGGAGCGAGCAGTACAAGAGAATTTTAGAGTCTTGTCTGCTCCCTTCTGCTGAAAGGGTGCAAATCGACCCCACCAAGCTCATTTTATGCAGGATAATGCTCCTTGCTATAAATCAAAATTGATGAGGGAATACTTTGATGAGAAACAGGTGAGTGTTATGACATGGCCGCCCCAATCTCCTGACCTCAACGCCATAGAAAACTTATGGAGCATTATAAAATACAGGCTCTCGAGAAAGCAGTTGAACAACAAAGAGAATTTGATTGTGAATTTCATATCCGAATGGAATTCAATGCTTGGAGATGAGATTTGCCAGAACCTAATCAAGTCAATGCCAAAAAGGGTTGAAAAGGTTATTCAAAATACAGGAGGACCCATAGATTATTAAATATTTCGAACTATATTACCTATTATAAATAAATTATACCTCTATTATTGTTTATTTAAAGCTGTTCGGTTATGTTTCTATTGATTACTAGTTGCGGGAAATAAGTGAGTCACTTCTTTTTTGGACAGAGTTTTTACCTAAATCTCATTTATACCCAAAATTATAATTATCAATAGAATACCTTATGGTGAGTAAACTTTTTTACTAGGGGGTCAGGAAGGGATCTTTATATTAGTAAGATTAAAAATTAGTTTGACCCGAAAAATAATAGGCGAAAAAATTTTTAAGTAAAAAAAATCAGGTGAGTCACTTTTATCGAACAGCACTGTATATCCAAGAACAGATAGTAAATAGTAAAACGTTGCTGAGAGTTATAATGGACAGGAAGTAGTGGAGGGCCATTGTCGCCAACAATTTGGACTCAAAACCGGCACTGAAGAATTATCTTTCAAACAAAAAAAAATTCAACAAAATCGGATGAAAACTGTGGAAATGCATAAACAACATCCGATCACACACACATACACACACACATTTTGAGAATTACAGATATAGTTATTTTCTAAGCGTAGCTTAGATGTGGCACAAGGCCGAAAGTATGGGGCACCTAGTGAGCAACGAACTCACTTTTTCAGTTGTAACTGATCTAGCAAGAAAAGCTTGCTAAACATTACACCACGCTGAGGTGCCCTAGAGGATTACCGATATAAGAGGTATTTTAATATTTTCAATACAACGGAAAACCTTCGTGGAATGTTGTGTTAACTTTGCTTCAAACAAGTTCAGCTTCTGTCAGAATGTTGTTGAAGTTAAACGTTCATGAATTAAACTGTGCTTAGTTGCTGTTGGCCAAGGTTAAGTATTTATCAGTTTCCTTCTGTTCTTTTACGGGGTTAAACAATTGAAGTTGTTTGGCATTTCAAACAAATTTTTTTTTTAATTTGAATCTACAGTCGAATCTACACAAACTTTTAGTTTGGATCTATACCCTCAGCTCTTATCTGGCAATGTGACAAGTGGCATTTAAAAATGAACAAATCAGCTATTTAAGAGCATTTTTCTAGCCTTATCTTTAAAAACTCACATCTTGGGTCTCATGGTTGAAATTCTCACTAGGAATCACTGACACACAGGCACAACGTACACATGATTCACACGCGAATATTGATCGAACGTATGATCAAAGTACATGATTTCTTTTGTGAGTGATTTTACGGTACGGAAAGCGTATTCCTAATCACATCATACGAACCATGCACATAATTAAAAATAACACACCCTAAAATCTGAAGTAGTTCCGTGACGTTGAAAGTCACCTATTAAAAACCCATTAATGATACCAGCACTTTTTTTTTTCATTTCTTTTTAGGGCCTTTATTAAAAAAAATGTCTTTTAGATTTTTTTCCGGAATACTTCCGGTCTTGTTAACGTCCTGTTGTTGTGATTGCTGCTAAGATGGAAGTAATCGGTTTTGCATGGCTGGCTACACTTGGTCGCTCCGAACAGAGAAATTCTTGACAAACATTTGAAGATTAATCAGTTCAACGCTGTTTATTCAGTCAAAATACCGGTGTGAAAGTGCTTTTTGTAGATTATTATTATTGTTATTATTGTTGATGTTGCTGTCGTTTGGCCATAATGCAACCATTTTATTTGATCACATGTTCTTAAAAAGCAAAAAAAATCGAATAATACACGACCTCGCTCGGCAGCTAAAGACGCTGAATAAAATAATAATTTGGTGAAATACTGAACTGTTCCTAAAACATGAGATTTGAGGAATTAGAAATCCGAAGAACTACCCAGACTAACAAGAATACTGCAGCTTTGAGATCGTCAAGGATACTAAGGAAGGTGTTGGAAACCCGAGGAATCTTGAGTCATTCGATGCCTATTGACATCCATCAGGTAATCTGGTGGAAATAAGCGAATTCACTAAATGACAACAATAATTACGAAAGAACCAAAGAGGAATCGAAGAAGTAAGAAGAAGAAAAAAAAAGATTTTTGGTTGGTTGATTTTTACGGCTTGTCAACCCCTGTTGGATTATTTCATGTAATTCTTTTGTGTCAGGCGCTCAGTAAAGATTGTATTACACTAATTAGTAGTTCATGGTCAAGAGGACTGGACTCGTTAATACCAAAGCGATTGAAGAAAAATAGTAAAAATGAACATCTGGATGAGTAGAAAAAGTAGTAAAGTGCTGGTTCAAATTAATTTGATTCGTTAACAGTAGATGCCAAAATAGCGAGAGGTTTGACGAATGCAACTTATTCCACGCATCTATTGGTTTCCAAGTTAACATAAAACCTCAAGCAGAACTCTTATATAGGATTCATTGCTAAAAATGTTTGGTAAATGTTCGGCTCATTCTATCACTCCAGAAAGTGCCTGACTCTTTCTAAAATTCTTTATCTTCACAAGAGTCAGATTGGACCAAAAATGGAGTATTTCTGGTATATCTGGCCTGGAGCTGTTTTGGCTCATTCTATCAATTCAGAAAGTGCCTGACTCTTTCTAAAATTCTTTATCTTCACAAGAGTCAGATTGGACCAAAAATGGAGTATTTCTGGTATATCTGGCCTGGAGCTGTTTTGGCTCATTCTATCAATTAAGAAAGTGCCTGACTCTTTCTAAAATTATTTATCTTCACAAGAGTCAGATTGGACCAAAAATGGAGTATTTCTGGTATATCTGGCCTGGAGCTGTTTTGGCTCATTCTATCACTTCAGAAAGTGCCTGACTCTTTCTAAAATTCTTTATCTTCACAAGAGTCAGATTAGACCAAAAATGGAGTATTTCTGGTATATCTGGCCTGGAGCTGTTTTGCCTCAATCTATCACTTCAGAAAGTGCCTGATTCTTTCTAAAATGCTAATAATAAAATAATAATAACAATAACTAATTTGTAGATATGAAAAAATTAAATAGAGGCAAGTTGTCAATATTATTCAACCAAACATGTTTGAAAGAATTCTTGCTGCCTAAATACACCTTATTTAATATATATATATATATATATGTTAAGAAATGGACAAGGTCCGACAATTTATTTATTAAAGACATTTTTATGTTTAACGTTGTTATTTATAGATACAAGTATTTAAGCAAATGCTCTGTTTATGATAAACAGTATTAAATAACATTTACCGGCCTGAATGTCCGAGAAATTTTCATAGAAAATATTCGTTCTTTGACAGGATTCGAACCTGCATCCTATACGGAACCGTCATATACGCCGACATGCCTTAACCGTCTCGGCCACAAAGAACCTTACGGTAGACAAGGTCGAATTTACTGTTTATAAACTTCAATCTTCCATGAATCTCGTACATTCATAACTGCTCTGGTGTATCGAATGTAAACAAATGACGTCATATGTTAAGAAATGGACAAGGTCCGACAATTTATTTATTAAAGACATTTTTATGTTTAACGTTGTTATTTATAGATACAAGTATTTAAGCAAATGCTCTGTTTATGATAAACAGTATTAAATAACATTTACCGGCCTGAATGTCCGAGAAATTTTCATGTTCCGTATAGGATGCAGGTTCGAATCCTGTCAAAGAACGAATATTTCTTAACATATGACGTCATTTGTTTACAAATATATGACGGTTCCGTATAGGATGCAGGTTCGAATCCTGTCAAAGAACGAATATTTTCTATGAAAATTTCTCGGACATTCAGGCCGGTAAATGTTATTTAATATTGTTTATCATAAACAGAGCATTTGCTTAAATACTTGTATCTATAAATAACAACGTTAAACATAAAAATGTCTTTTAATATATATATATATATATATATATATATATATATATATATATATATATATATATATATATATATATATATATATGTGTATGTTTCGCGATAGATCCGTGTGTGTGCAGTGTAGTGATTATTAGCTCGGAGAGGGGAGAGGATTTTGAATTCTGGCTGAGGGAGATCATGTTCACTTCTCACTAATGTCCCTGAATAAAGGCATGATTCAAATTCTCTATTTTGAGAATTAAATGTCGCCTCATTGATGGAAGAACGAATGAGAGCGCAATTAAAATATTCTTCCATAATTACCGTCTAAGCAGTAATAAACTGTTCAAAAGTCTCAACAATGTTAATGACTGGAGCCAGCATACGTATGTTGCTACCAGTCGTGCACACAGAAACACGCGCACGCGCGGATATGTACTTGTTTGTGCGTGTGTGTGTGTGTGTGTGTGTCTGTGTGTGTGTTTTGCATTGAGGTTCAATCTGTATAAGGCCTGGGGGCCTCTCCATGTAGAGAGTTACGTTAAGGGGTGGCTAGCACGGATAGGATGGTAAGATAACGGTTAACCCTTCACTTGAACATGTTAAGATTGTAGTGATCGGGGAAACATCCTCTTAGGAGTCGGTTCCACAGAGCAGTGGTTCGCGGGAAGAAGCTGTTCGGGGGGAACTTAATTCTTTCGGATGGAATACGTCGGAAATGCTGGTGAGTTGCTACATTGTAAGTGTCATGGCGGGTCCTAGACGTGAAGCTTAGAAATGGGGGAACTAAGGAATGTAGTTCGTCTGATCACTTTCCATGGAAGTAACGATAAAGCAATGAGAGGTTTGCCATATTCCGCCTGTGGGAGAGAGGATGCAGGGTGGAAAATAATTTGTCACCCACAAGGACTCGGAGACGCTTTTGAAGTCTATCGAGAACGGAAAGTGAGGCCTGAGTAATTCCCGCCCAAATGTGCCCAATTTGTGCATGCGTGTGTCGTCTTTGCGTTCATTTCAAGCACAGATATTTTCAACAGAATTTACACGTTAATAAAATAAAATATTATGTTCTTCTGTTCCATTTAATTATTTCCTTTTATTTCCCTTTTCCACCATTTTTCGCTTCTTTTCTCACATTTTTAAATTTTGTTTTCCGCTTATCCTCTTCATTTTCCGCCATTTTCCTAGTATGTTTTCGATTTCTTTCACTTCAATCACTTTTTTTTGTAGTCTTTCTTTCTTTCGTTTCATCTTTATATTTTTCTTTCTTCTGTTCCTTGTACGAATCCTTCTTTGTCTATTCATTTTGTTTTCTTATATTTCATTTTTTTAAAATGTTTCTTTTTTTATTTATCAACATTTACTTTCATATATTCTTCTTCTTTTTCTTTTTCTTCTTCTTCATTTCTTATCCTTCTTCTTTTTTACTTCTCCTTTTTCTCTTCTTCTTCTTTTTCAGTTTTCCATTTCCTTCTTCTTCACTTCTACTTTCTCGCTTCTTCTTCTCCTTCTTCTTTTTCCTCTTCACTTCTTCTTTTTCTACTCCTTCTTTTTCTTCACTTCTCTTCCTCCTCCTTCTCCTTCTTCTTCTTCTTCTTCTTCTTCGCTTCTTCTCCTCCTTTTTCTACTCCTTCTTCTTCTTCTTCACTTCTCCTCCTGCTTCTTCTCCTTTTTCTTCTTCTTCACTTTTTCTCATTCTTTTTCTACTCCTTCTTCTTCTTCTTCTTCTTCTTCTTCACTTCTCCTCCTCCTTCTTCTCCTTTTTCTTCTTCTTCTTCACTTCTTCTCCTCCTCTTTCTACTCTTTCTTCTTCTTCTTCACTTCTCCTCCTCCTTCTTTTTCTTCTTCTTCTTCACTTCTTCTCCTTCTTTTTCTACTCCTTCTTCTTCTTCACTTCTCCTCCTCCTTCTTCTTCTTCTTCACTTCTTCTTTTTCTACTCCTTCTTCTTCTTCACTTCTTTTCGCTTCTTCTTCTTCTTCCTCTTTTTCTTCTTCTTCTTCACTTCTTCTTCTCCTTCTTCTTCTTCTATTACTTTCATCTGACCTTCGATGTCAAAAAGGTAACAGCCTTAACGTAGCATCCGTCTCCATCTTAGCCTCAATGCATTAAGCACATACAATCCAGCAAATCTTTAAGGCTTCGCTATTTCCTTCCGTCTTTATGCCTTCCTTAAGCGATTACAAGGCATACAATAGCATATTCCCTGTCAAGGTGAAAGGAAAAACTGAATACAGAGAAGGTTGATTAATAGACTCGGATTTTTACAGAAAAGCCATGATCACCAACAAACTTTTGCCCTGCTTCTAAAACAGACAGAGAAAAGGGGACAAAACCGAACAGTGAAAAATAAATAAAATAAAATAAAATAAAATGAACAATTTGAAGAAAACAAAAAAAAAACATGGTTAAACAAATTTGACATCAGAATCGGAAAGTGGGGAAAAAGAAAAAAACAAGATGGATCCTGTGTTTTCCTTTTTGTGCTAAAGTCTTGAACTGCTTGGGTCACTATTGTTAACCGTAGACCCTAATCATTTGCAACGTTGCTTGTGACCTATCCGCAGGAGGACTGGCATACACAAATGAAAGCAACGTGTTAAAAGAGAAAGAGAATAAGAAGAAAAAAAAAACATAGTAGAGAAAAAAAAAGATAAGACAGGGAAGGAAATAAATCAGGAGTGAAAGACGAAAGAAGCGAAGACGAAGAAAGAAAGAAGTTTCAAAGGAGGAAATGAATTATAGCTAGACTGACCCTTTAAGAGGTCCCGTAGGAAGATTAAACATGGGTACGGATCCTGTGTTGGAAAAATATGTAAGAAGTACGAGCTAGATCGCAAGTTCGTTTGTGTCTGTCTGGAATTGGCGTGGGTTGGTTTCAAACAAGGAAGAGGAAGAGATTTGAATGTCGTCCGCGTTGTTCGTAAAGAAAAAAAAGTGTTCACAATCAAAAGATTCAAGTACAATTCAATTTGTCTGCTCAGTTGTTAATCTTTTTTTCTTTTTTTTTTTCTTTTTTGGTTGTCCATTAAAAAAAAAACTAGGCAGATTTCGTTGACATTAAATAATTAAGATTCTGTCTATCACTGACAGACTCGGTGAAATTGACAAGTGATACAGAATTGACAATTCTGAAACTACAATTCTTTGTTCGACCTTTCATTCAACCTTTTCTTCATGTCGTCTGCTTTTCTCTGGATTTTCCTTCCTATATCTTTAGTTCGTTTCCTATTCCAATGTCATTCTTTTTCAACTGTATCCATGTTCTCATCTCTCTTTCTTTTTACTCACTTTTCCTCTTGTTTTCTAGTCATTGTCGCGTTGACGCAAAAAAGCTTGTCACCCCCTACAAAGAAGTACAAAACCACGTGATAGCTACCGAGGTTCACACACACACAGGGGACCGGCATAGAGAAAAGACGCTCACATGCGGACCTGGGACCTGCTCCTGGACCAAAGGATCAGCTCCAGACGAAGGGAATCACAGACCTGTTCTAATGAAACGGATACCTGTTATCTGTTTCAACAACGGAGCTCTCTGGTAAGTAACGTTGCACATGCTATATAGTCAAGTCAGTTATGTGCCATGCGTGATACACGCTTAGGCGATCATGTATCTTTCGATACATGACTGACGAGACAGATCTTTTTCCCGCGGTAGGTTGCCATTTCTTTCTACAGAACCCGGTCTGTCCTACTATTTACCAATAGAGCGGAGAAGAAGAGGATTAATACCTTTCCCAAGGGTATTAGCACGTAAATGTGAAGGCAATGGATTCGACTGGAATTCGAACTCGGCTCTCCGATTCCTCCGAACCGCTATCTATTGCCTCCCTCATTCTATATAGGCGAGGACAATATATGTATTAACCTTCTAATAATAATAAATGTTGTTATCGTTATAACTTGCGTCTAACCTTTTTCCTTAATCTATCCACTCCAACAGAGGGGTGTAGTGACGACAGCGGTACAAAATGCGCCAAATGAATAAAAAAGAATTAGCGAAATGGTCTAAATTCTTTAAGTTAAGGCTTGGATGAAGAAAGTCTATATAGGTCTAATAAAAAGGTGTTGGGTTTGGCAAAAAAGGTTTTCTCTCCCTACATAGTAGTAGAAACCCACGTAACAGCTATCGAGGTTCAGACACACATGGACCGGCGTAGGGGACATGACGATCACACACGGATCTGGGACCTACTCCTGGGCCAAAGGACCAGCTCTAGACGAAGGGAAACATAGATCTGTTCTGAGGAAACGGATACCTGTTATCTGTGTCAACAATGAACCCCTCTGTTAAGTCACGCTACATATTTTATGTAGAGGAGGTCAATGGCTGTATCAGCCTTTCCAATAATAATATATGTTGTCATCGTTATAACTTGTGTCTAAGCCTTTTCCTTAATCTATATACTTCAGCATCACCCTTGTCTCTTATCAACATTCATTTGCCAATAGTTTCTGTAATAGAATATTTGTTATCACGACTGTACAATTTTTGCTCATTTGCCAAAGTAAAATTGGGATTCCTCTTATCTTAAGAAAACTAAATGCGTATATAGAACTTCATACTTATCTCTTATATATACCATGTTAGACGCAGGTGTACAATCTGTGCACGTTATTACAGCGACCCCGTATAAGAATAGTGGGTGTGCAGGTTACGTAACGGTTATCGGCGGGAATATGGATTCGGCGCGCTTCCTGTTCAGTCAGTTCTGTTCGCCTCGCACTATTGCCTTGGGAAAGGCGGGAATCCATCTCTTCTCGCACAAGCTATGATTTAAATAGAAAAGTAGACTGGGTTCTGTAGTCTTGCATGGCAGTCAGTCTAGAAGAACAACTGTGGGTGTCACTTAAGCGCGTGGTTTATATGCTGAATGTAATCTGACAAAGTGCACTGCATTAATATTTATAATAAGAAAATAAACAAAGTATAAGTCTTTATTTATTATATTGATTCATTTGTTTTCAACCTTTTCTTATTTATTACATAAAGTAATGGATTTTTATTCATCCGACAGTTTTCTTATTCCTTTAAACGTTTTTTTTTTTTTTTTAGTGGATACTCGTATTTGCGTAGACGCTCCGTTTAAAACAGTATATTATTTATTTTCGGTAACAGGTGTGAAAGTTCGAGAAATATTAAGATTCGAACCAGAGTACTCCTAGACAGATGGAGCTACCGTTACATCCAGCACGCTCTAACCAACTACAGAGAAAAAGCCGAGCAGGCGAGGCCGAAATTCTGCCTTTTAGTGAAACTTCTCTCATCATAGATTTCCCCAAATTTTTCATATATGCACAGTTTTGTATCCAAATCTAAATAGAGAAATTTTTCATATATGCACAGTTTCGTATCCAAATGTAAATAGAGAAATTTTTCATATATGCACAGTTTCGTATCCAAATGTAAATAGAGAAATTTTTCATATATGCACAGTTTCGTATCCAAATGTAAATAGAGAAATTTTTCTGAAGGAAGTGATGGATTTTTATTAATTCAACAGGTTTTTTATCACTTTAAACGCTATTTTTAGTGGATACGCATATTTGGGTAGACGCTTCGTTTAATTAGTAAACAGTGTATTTATTTATGTTCGTTTACCGGTCTGAATGCTCGTGAAATCTTATTAAAGAAAAATTTGAGGGAAATCACATAAACTATATATTTTTTTTAATTTAAAGAAAATCACATTAACTATTTTTTTTAAATCATTAAAACACGATTTTGTCGAAAGAAAGAAAGAATTGATCCATTAATTATCAGTGGACTTGAAGGACAGAAATCATATTGACGATGTTATTTGTTAATATTCCAATTCAATAAAATGTTGAAAATTTAATTTCTTGAAAATATGCATTTTTTGTTTGTCCAGACATTAGAGACACCTGTATATATATATATATATATATATATATATATATATATATATATATATATATATGTGTGTGTGTGTGTGTGTGTGTGTGTGTGTGTGTGTAAGTAATTTATTCGAAAACTATAATATTTTATAAAATCACAAGAAAAATAACCATTTTGTTTCAACACTTCTGGTGTTTTATCAAGTGATGATGTTGAATCTAGAATAAAGACAAATATACTATTTACATGGTTCGGACTATCATTCTCATCTTTGTTGCCATGTTTATCACAACGTTTCGGCCATTGTATGCTCTTCAGGTGGTTGGAATGTCGAACTGCACCCTTTATTTCGCTCGCTGGGGCAGACTGTTCTAGTTCCATGTGACATGTTTAATGGATGTCAGTTATCAGTTATCTCCTATAGAAATGAATACAATATGGGAACCAGTAATAAGGAGTGCCAGAGAAAAGCAATAATAACAACGAAAAATGCAATATGAGCTCTGGTAAAAAAATGAAATGATAACAGATAAAAATTGCAATATGAGCACTGGTAAAAACAGAGCTGAAGACATTAGGTCCTCAAGGATGCATAACACAGTGGATAAAAGCGTTAGTTAGATCCAGTGACAGGACCCAAAGTTCAATACCTGGTTAAGGTGGTAGAATTAACAGGAGATAACTGAAAACTGACATCCATTAGTCATGGCACGTGGAACTAGAACAGTCTACCCCAGCGAGCGAAATAAAGGGTTCAGTTCGACATTCCAACCACCTGAAGAAGGCCGAAACGTTGTGATAAATATGGAAACAAAGATGAGGATGATAGTCGGAACAATGTAAATCATTTATGTAACAATGTAAATAGTGTACATAATACCTCATCTCAGAAATATAGACAGATACTGAAAGATAAATATATTACAACTGTTTATACACAATTTGAATATCATTAAGAAATGTAACGAATAAATTTTGGGCATTCGATCGCATAATTTTCCAATAAATAAAAGATAGAAACGTTTGGATTGGTACACCGCTCAAATTTTTAAGTCGTCCTCGGTATGACGATAAACTACGTCCAGCAGCAAGGCCTCTGATGAGGAGGTTTTGAGGGGTGTGGAACCACCTCTTAATTGCTGGTGTTCCCAAGTCCACCCTGACCCGGGGTGGTAGCACCTG